CTGCAGCAGACGCAGGCACAAGTGCAGGAGGTCAGTAGCTCTGCCAGCCCTGACGGGTGCGTGGGCTCCTGTCCCACCGCTCTGCAGCAGCGCTGTTCCCGACCCGTGACGGGCGCTGAGGGGGTGGCTCTTTTTGTTATGCCAAAGCCAGAAATTAATTAATGCTGAATACTCAAAAATAGGGTGGCAAACCTATTAAAGAAGCTAGAGGAGAGATTGCTTTATGTTTAATAGCCACTTCATTCCAGATGTCACTTCCAAGGAGCAGGCTTGCTAGATTGTTTTGGTACCTCGTTATCGCGCATCTCTTATGGGCATAAAGCTGTGCGGCATCCAGGACAGCTCTTAATCCCCGCGGGCTGCTCCAAGGGAACGCTGTGTGCAGTGATGTGGGGAACCCTTGCCGGGCTTCCCGGGATCAGAGCCTGTGTCTTGGCTGCTGTAGCGCCTGTGTGCCTCACCGGGGCAGCAGCACGAAGCTGAAAGGAAATTTTGCAGCTCCCGGGAGTGAGTGAGCACAGGGCTCCTCTCATAGGGAGGGTGGCTTTGGCTTGCTGCTGGAATGGAGAGCTCTTAGAAGCAGATGAGAATGTGAGGCTGAGGACCTGCTTGAAGTGATATTTTAACAGTGACTCTCGGATTTTTTTTTTTCATTCCAAAGTAGGCAATTACTTGAAATCACTTCTTTCTTACCCTGATCTTTCCCCCACTCTTGTTCATGTTTTTTGTTGGTTAGTATTGCAACATCGATTATTGGCTGCGTAACTCCTGTTACATTTTCAGCTGTCTTTAACAATACAACTGCTCCCACTGCTCTCCCTGTGCAGGTGGTTGATATAATGTGTGTGAACGTAGACAAGGTGCTGCAGCGAGACGAGAAGCTCTCCGAGCTGGATGACCGGGCAGACGCGCTGCAGGCCGGCGCCTCGGTGTTTGAGAGCAGCGCTGCCAAACTCAAAAGGAAGTACTGGTGGAAGAACTGCAAGGTGAGCTTCCTATTGCCATGATCTCCTTGTCAGGAGGGAGCTGGGCTACTCCTCTCCTGCAGAGCTTTCAAGTATAGCTGGGGCTTGTTAGCAGTTTCAAATGCTTAAGGTTCTTTCGCTGTGGGAAGGCTTTGAGGCCTTGGCTGTCTTGCCTTTGAGGCCTGGCTTGGGTTCCCTGGCTGTCAGGAAGAATGGGATCTTGTCAGTCTGTTCTGAGTATTGCTCTTTTTCTTCAGATGATGATCATGATGGGAGTGATTGGTGCCCTTGTGGTGGTGGTGATTGCAAGTAAGTACCAAAAACCTCAGGCTCAAAGGTGAGGAAATACCAGCTCTAGAGTACTCTTAACTTTTTGTTTTGAGGTCTTGAGGGTCTTAGTTATGTAAGTGTCAACTCCAGTCTTTGGGAAAGGGAGGTAGAAGTGCTGGAACTCCCTCACTTAGTGTGGAAATGGTATGCTTTACCTAGTAATATGAGGAATGGGGAATGCCATCACTGTAGAAATGGGAAATTCTGCCTGCCAGGTCGGATAAACCTGTAAGTATGAGGGGTGTTTGCACTGGAGTGGGTGGGTTGGCAAGTTCCTTCCCTGGTGGGTGGTTTGGAGTTCTCTGAGGGACCTTTGGTGTAACTTGCCCTTTTGTTCTTTCCTTTTTTCTTTTTTCTATTGCTTTGTCTCCAGTCTACTTTTTTACTTAAATGTAGCTCCTTCAGTCTGCAACCTCCTGTCCCCTATTACCTTGCCTGTCTCTCCTTGCCTCTGAGTTTTTCCTTTCCTTCCCTTTCACCTAGCTTCCTCATTGATTTCCTTATTGGTTTTAACTTATCTTCTGTATAGGACTCTGAGCTGCTTACTAAACATAGGTAGCCTTTTCAATAGCTGCTGCAGCTTTAGGGAGCATCCTCTAAGTTTAGAGGAAAGGGAAGCTGAGGAAGAGTGGGTAGCCACTTGCTCCTGCTCTTCTGCAGAGAACTTTTTGTGTTTATTTTTGGGTGTAAGCTTGTCAAATAGTGCCTGTGTGAACTCTAGCAAAATAAGAATGCCTTAACACAGTGCCTTTTGGGATGAAGGACTGCAGCATGTGAGAGCCTCTAGTGTTCTGCCTAAAAAGAGTGGCAGCATGACTTGAGCTTTTCATTGAGCTTCTGAAATAAAAGCTAGTTTGTGTTGGCCAGTGGCTGTGAGCCATTTAAGCTACACCTAGTGATGCAGGTTTCTCTAGCCATGAAGGGGTGAGCACTCGAAGAAATGATTTATTCTGCCTGAACATGGCCATTTCAGTTTTTATAAAGGAGGGCCCACATGATTACCTCAGTCAAGTGCAACATGCTAAACACAGTTCAGTAAAAGGGGCATTGCTGCCATCTAAAAGGCATGTGTGGGAGTAAAGCCTCTCTCCACAAGGAACAAATAAACAACAATTAGTCAAATATGCCTTTCATCTATGCACACACAAGCCAGGACCCTGTAGCTTCCTACTGTCTTGTAGCTTTCCAGAAGGAAGACTTTGGAGCAGTGGCAGAATGGGAATTGGTGTTTTGCTTTTGTGTGACTGGGTTGAAGGTCGAGGAAGCTCCCTGCCACAGCAGATAGAGGTGAAGGGGGCTGGAGGTATTCCAGATGAACCTGAATGAGCTGCACGGCTTTCTGATTAAGAATATCTGCTCTGTTTCTCCTGCCACAAAGCCCTAACTTTCAGCAGGAGTTAGAAAACAATTGAAATAGTTAGCTGGGGATTCAAAGGGAAATGGTGCTCTGGGTATGGATATTGCAAAGTGGCATCAGATGTCCCAGTTTGGCAACTTACGCCTCCAGAGATCTTGCTGATCAAACTGAATGCTCCTACTTGCTGTGGGTTCTCTGGAATTTAGGTCCAGGGTGGTTTCTGATGGAAGTAAACTTGTGGCTGTGGCTTTCTGTGAGTGATTCCCTTGTTCTTGTCCATCAAAAGTAACAGGAGTGGTGAGTTGTTTGAATGGTTGTCAGACATGGGTTAAATGAGCTGCCCTGTTTCTGTAGAGTCTTCTGAGGAATGTGTATCTTGTCTTTTAACTTTTCTTTTTAACAATCTGAGTTGTAGCCTGTAACCTAGACTGGAAAGAGGGTGCTCCTTTAGTTTAGAAAGCTCTGCCTCTGTTCTGGAATACACTGGGATCTCTTTAGGCAGGGAGGACATCACTGGAGTTCCCAGATAGGAGCAAAGTACAAAAGATGGGAGGAGCAGATGCTTTTTGTTTCACTGGATGTGCTGGGGAAGCCCCTTTCTGCCTCCCAGGACACCTGGCAAGGGGCTAGGTTTTGCATGCTCACTTCCACGCCCCAGCATTTTCATTTGAGTTCATCTCCCTGCAATTCCATTCCTCTCCACCTTGGGGGAGGGCAGAGATGAAGATCTGGAGTGAAGCAGCCCTCGTCCCCTGAGCACTTCCCTAATTCCCTGGAGCTGAGATGGGATGGACGGTCAGAAGTGCATCTGCTGAAGAGGAGCCAGGGCCTGCTTGTGCCACCTCCTGCTCTCATTTTAGGGGGTAGCCTTTTACAAGCTTGAGGCCCCCAGACCAGCAATTCTCTTGAACTCTTCTAAACAAGCCTTTGGTGCCCCATTCCTCCTGTCTCTCTGGGAGCTGAGGTCCCCCTAGGCTCTCTCTTTCATTTTTTTCTCTCAGATGTTGTATGTTGCCATCTCCTCTGCTTCCTTTCCCCTCCTTTGTGTCTCTGTGCATGGGCAAAACAAATCACCAAGGCCCTCTTAGTAAAAGCAAGGGACTCTGCTGCCCACAGCATCACAGCCACTCATGCACGTGCAGTTTATTTACTTCTCTATAAATACAACTGTAATCTCCTCTGGCATGTTCTAGAAATCAGCTCATGTACTTTTAATGGTCTCTAAGAAACACAATTCACCACCTTACTGAGTCTGTCTGGTCTGTCAGTGAGTGGGAAGGGGTTGGGATACCAAACTTCTGGAATTTCTTTTTGTTGTGACTTCCATAGCATGCACATACCTGAAGTTGTGTCCCTCAAAGCAGTGGCTGCTTTTCCATTGTAAACTGATGGTAGTTCCAGTTGTGCTGGACTGACTCTGGTAAGTCTGTAACAAGGTGTGAGAAGCAGCAGCTCTGGGGGAAGAGTCTGCCCAAGACAAATCTACTTTCAGCCACTGAAGTCTAGCCAGTGTCCTGTTCAGGGGACTGCCTTCTGTGTGTTACTGTGTTAGGGGCAGCTCTGGCTCTCAGGCTGTGCTGCCTTTGGACTTCAATAACCTTAAACCCTGAAAATAATTCTCCATTGCTGTTGGAATACAAGTTCAGGACCCAAATGAAGACCTCCAAGAGCAGGATGCTGTTCACAACATATATTGGAGCATGACTGGAGTAAAGGTAAGTGCCCCTTTGTCCTACTTCACTGTACATTGGAAACTCATTAAAAGGAAATAACAGAGCTTTGTCCAGTGCAGACTTCTTTTAAAATTAGGTACTGGTACTCATGCCCTTATCTGCCTTTATTGCTACAAAAGCTGGGTTGTAAGCCAGTCTTACATGTGGACTTCTGGTTCCCTTATGATCAGTCCTTGTCCAGTCTTAAACATCACCAAAATCCACTTCAGAACAGTGAGCACACTGGAACAACTCTCAATGGTGAATTTGGAGCAGGGCAGCTAGACTAATTCTTCAAAGATGGAAGCCTTCCTGGGAAAGGAGGGTGTCTGGACTGGCTGCTGGATTAAGGCAGCGTGTACAGTCTAAAATTCCCCACAGTTCAGGCCTGCACAACCTGAACAAACGAGTCGTGCTACAATTCCTGCCAAGTTCTGTGTTGCCTTCCTGTCAGTTCTCAGCCTCACTCATGTAGGGAGATAGGGAAGATGTTTTCATGGGACAGATGCATTTTTGGACTGTTGATGATGCAGTGTCCAAGTCTCTAGCCAAAGCTGGGGATTGAATGCTCATTTTCCAAAGCTGGCAGCTGCTCTGGGGCACAGAGCTGGGGCTGAACGTACTGCTGAAAGTTGCCCCAGGGTTGAGCCCAGTTCATGAGTCATGTTGTGGCTGTTTGCAAAGACTTGCATGTCTAGCTATAAATCCTTTGTTAGGCACTGAAAATATCATTTTCTACTGGAAGCTCTTCTGTGATGCCATCCTTACCTGCATCAGCATTTCTGCTGCTCCTGCACTCTCTTATCCCAGACAAAACAGGGTTTTAAATGTGCTCCAAAAGCAAGGCCAAGGGTCTGGGAGAATAGTTCTTTGAATGTTTAATTAAAAAGTCGAGGTCTGCCTTTAAACATGGAACATGCTTAGCATGCCTTTGAGCTGGAATGGATTGCCCAGAGAAGCTGTGGATGCCCCATCTCTGGAGATGTCCAGAGCTGGGTTGGATGGGGCTTTGAGCAACCTGGTCCAGTGGAAGGTGTCTCTGTCTGTGGTAGAGAGTTGGAGCTAAGATGATCTTTAAGGTCACTTCCAACCCAAACCATTCTGTGCAAAATGCAGCTCCCGTATCAACTGCTGCATCCTGGTATCTTCAGATGTGGTGGAAGAAAACCCTCAACTGTACAGCTCCTAAATGGATATACCCTAAACCTTCCTATCTCCAGCTACCTGAGGCATTGCTCTGGCCTTTCCTGAGGTGTCTCTGTGCTGGTCAGAGCCTGGGCAAGCTCTCAGCACTGGTGGGGTTTGTTGTCTCAGCTGGAGAACAGCCAAATGATGATAGGCAGGACAGATTTTTCTTCACAGCTGGAATGCAGCATCAACACATTTAATGAACCTGGCTTCCTTGGGAAGTGACAGAGGTCCCTGCTCTGATGTATCCATTGGGGTTGGAAGCCTTAACTTGGTGAAGGGAGGTAATAAGGGGGAGGTTTAATCTTTGTTCTGACCTCTAAACAAATGATTGCTCTGAGAGATGTAACAGATAAAGATACAGGTTTTACAAATAGGCAGCTCAGCCGTGTCTGTTGGATACCTAAGCCTCCACACTCCTGATAATATTTGACCTATTTTTGGCCTGAGATAGAGTACAACACTTACACAGAACACCCTTACTTGCTCCCCAGGTTTCAAATATGAACAGCCTCGTAATGTCCTTTCCTTCAGTGCACAGACCGACCCACTAAATGATTTCTGCAGAGGACTAAATGAACTTTCTTTTTATGCTCTTCCCTCAGAGGCTTCTTTTCCAAAAGCCTTTGTACTATTTTTTAAAACTAAATTTGCCATAAATGTATGAAAAATTTAATAAAGATTATAAGCTCTTTTTAGTTCAGTGCTTTTAAGCATGCACTTGGAAGCTGAAGGCTCCTTCCCCTCTTATGCTTATAGGCTCCCTTTAAATATTGCATATTGTTAAATACAGAGAAATGTGACTGAATGTGTCTGTGCCTCTGTTCCTGATCTCTGTGGTTCCTCTGTCTTTTCACCAGCAGCACTACTGCCCTTTTCATTTCTTGATGTAGCTTGTAATTAACCCTGCAGATTTTACTGAACCTGTCACAGGAACTTGGTAACCCTTTCTTCAAATTCCTTCTCTGTTTGACACGAGTCTGTGCAGACAATCCTTGACCTATCTGGTCAGCTTCTCTCAAGCTCTCCAGCAGGCAGGGTTTTGTTCTTCTAAATACATTGTTTATTTTCCAAAGTGATGGTTCTCTCATTTTTTTCTAGCTTCCCTAGACACTTATGTTGTACTTCCATGCCTTTCCTCTATTACCTTAATTCTTGTGGAAAAACAATAGTTTGGCATCTGTTCCCAGTCCAAAAAGACACAACCTTCAGCTGTTTCCTGCAAGTTTTCCATGTCCACAAAATAACTCTGCTATGCCTCTAACACACCTATGAGTACTGAGCATCCCCTCAACTTTCTTTCTCCTCTTGTACAAATTCACCCCAGCTCAGACCTTTAATTTGCCTTTTGCTGACCTGCAGATCCCCAAACTGCATGCTTTCTTCCCTTTTCTCTAATTTTTCACATTCTCAGTGAAACACTCTCATTTTTGGGCCCTTGTTTTCAGCCAGACCAAGCTCACTCTACATCTGCTGAGCTCATTTGTGGTCTTGCCAGCCTACAAGAAACATAGGGATTATTTCTGGAACAAGCCCCTGATTTCTCCCAAGATGGCAATTTTTGCACTGATTCACAGGACAGGGAGGGCTCATCTATTTACCAACTTGTATAACTGCTTCTTCATATTTGTACAGGCTTTTAATTCTGGATTTACAGCTATCCTGAATGGTGCCATTACTTTGAGTTTATCAGTCAAAGCCCTTTTTATTTTTTTTTGCATTTTAACACTCTTATGGAACAGATAGGATGTGGTTCAAGCTTCCCCCAGGGAATACATCACCACCTTCTGCAGCTGTATTTCTTTATTGATGAAGAGAACTTACTGTTTCAAGTAGTTATGCCTCTGATTAATCTTGCTTTAATCACCACTTGACTGTGCATGATGCAGCAGGTCTCATCAATTTTATGGTTATTACAAGGTTATTTATGGTTCTTTCTGTGAAGAATCGTGTCTTACTCTTTGGATACTGAGGAAATATCATGCTTACCATATGAATCACTGTATGTTTGTGGTATACAAAGACTGTTTTGAGGTGTTGCATCTGCTCTTTATCCTTTCTTGATCTAAAGGTGGCTTTGTGAAGCAAACAGCTTTGTGTCCAGTGTCAGGTTTTTGCTCATTCATGTGCTAGAAAACACCCAAGGCATCAATCTGTAGTACTGAATTTGTGAACAAGAACTGGGTGCAACATCCTAGCTCCTCTATCTGCCTGCCTTTTGTATTTTAATTGTGGCCAAAGTTACTTTGAGCAACTGAACCTAGCTTTTACCTCTGCCTCTTGGGCAGTGTTTTTACAGAACATGAAAGCACCTTCACAGAGGCAATTTTGAGATTTCATTCATTGCTCACTCTTTTTTACTTCATTTAGAAAACTGATTTTTTTTCATGTTTGCAGAAGCACTGATTTTTTTTCTAGTGGGAGGCCTCCAAGGAGGAATACATGTTTCCACACCTCTAAGTGCTTTTTTCAGGCCCCTCCCTCCTGCTGGGGTGCCACCTTTGCTGAAGGCACCTCCCAAATTACAAGCTTCTATTCCTAGCAGAGAAACATTATCTTCACTTTCAAACAAGAATTATCAGCTGGGCACTGGGATAGAATTTGTAAAAGCAGGAATATTTGTGCACTAAAGAACATAGCATTTGTATGTGTATGTGAAGAAGAATAAAAGCACTCTCTGCTGGGGACTGGAAAGTGCTTTTAGGTAATCAAGCCAAGAGCAGTACAACCAGCGTGTGTTTAGCATCTCAAAGGGAAAAATTAGGCAACAATTTAGATATTGCAGTAAACTCCTCCAGCTTCCCAAGGGCAGTGCGTCTACCTTAAATTTTAAAACAGCTTCAGTTTTTCTTTTGTTATGATTAAGTAGTTTTTAAATTCAAAAGTGGCTGTTCACAGTGTGACTGGTTACAGGGTTCCACAGGTCTTTGCCTAAACTGCTTAAATTCTGGTATCTCTGTTTGTCCTGTGAAGTGGATAATCCTGTTTTTTAAGGACATCACCCTTGCTCTCTTGATACCCCATAAAGTGCTGAGCAAACACCATTGCAGCAGAAGTCTGAGTATTTGTAAGAAAAGAGTATGGCAAGCTCACGGCAAGAAACGTGTTTGCTTATACAAAGGTCCCCCAGTTAGTCCCTGAGCAGGACCATTTTTGCCCATGTGGTCCAATCAATTAGGCTAAAGCTTTCCTTGGCAGCACTTTTGGTTAAAGCCTGCAGTAGTTCCCTGTGCTTCCCTCAGGAACAAGAGGCTCAGCAGAGTTTCTGTGGGAGCCCCCGACAAGGGCTGGGAGGAGCAGAACATGCTCTGCATGACCTGTGCTGAGCCTCTCTTGCAGGATCCCAGTGCAGCAGAGGTAACATCTGGGATTTTTGGAGGGTGTTCATAATCCTGCCAACTTTTTGTTTCCCTCAGGAAGAAAGCAGGGAGGGTTAAGCAGTTGTAGAGATCGATTTGTCCCTGAGCTGTTGGCAAACAATCAGATAGCTGGAGGTACACATGTATGGTGTATCCCAAGGAAGGGGGAACATCCAAGATCTACCAATGCCACAAAGGCAGCTTGAAAAGGGAGCCTTTACTTTGCCAGGGGTGTTTTGTCCCGGACCTGGGAGTGGCAGCAAGCTTGGAGCACCTCTCCAGAGCATTGTGCGTAATACAGATTGAGATCGTGCCAGTGGCTCTTGTCTCAAGGAGCCTCTCCTGGGGGGAGGAGAGGTGACACAGCCTTGAGATCAGAGCTCATGAAGAATGAGGAAAGAGCAACCAGTTTAGGGAAAGCTTAACGAAGCTCAGCCTGTTGAGAGATTTGTACCCTAGCTAAGACTCCATTCCTGTTCCTTGTCATACCACAGAGGAGGCCAGTCACACCTGCCAAACCTCTTTAATTAATGACAGACCAGAACTGTGGCAGCATCCTTGTTGGAGGGAAAGGAAAGCATGCCTGCACATGTAGGTGTGCACATGCACAGAGCATAAGGAAATCTGGAGGACATCTCCCCCACACATACACTAGATCAACTCTCATCCCCGGTGATCCCACAGCAACAGTATTTTATGAGACTGAAGAATGTGCCTACAGAAGTGAAAGCAACGAGCCCAGGCCAACCATGGAGCTGTCTTTTGCTGTGGTCCATGTGCAGCCCCCAGAAAGAAGGAAACACAGACAACGAGTGCAGCCTCTGCTCCAGCTGCCAGCCACCAGTGGAACAGTGCAGGAAGCTGCTGCGTCACTCATGTCCCTCCTCCCCATCCCTGCTTGGCCCACGTGGCTCCAGGCTGTTGTAGGAGGGCAGCGTGGTCACCACGGCCTCCACGGTGAAGCGATGGGGAGCACGGAGCGCCGGTGCCTCGTCTTGGAAAGCGGCGTTATCCTGGCTGTTCATGGGGGGCACCGCCGCGGGCAGCTTCTGCCGGGAGCGGAACCAGCGGAAACCCAGGATAAACGTGATGGCAATGAAATCCAGAACCAGCTCTGCAAGCTCCATCACAGACAGGACAGAGGATCCAAACCAGAGACTCCACTGGTTCCCAAGCTGGGACAGCAGAGTCACTACCTGCAGGAGATGGAGAAAGAGCAGTGACAACAGCCCTCATCTGGGACTTTGCCTCCCTGCCTGTTCCCTCACCCTGCCCAAGGAAAAGAAACAATATCCAGCAATGCTGCTGGAATGAAAGCTTGCCACAGTGGAGGGACATCATGGGGGAATGGGTGGCCAGAGGAGACATGCTAGTAAAGTGTGTACCGTGAAGGCTGGAGACTCCCCATTGGTCTTGTAGTTCCACTCCTTAAAGAAGATATTCACTTTGGCAACTCCGTTCCTGTGAGTGAGAGATGACACTCAGTAACCTCAACTCCTCAATCCCTGCATTTCTTCACCAAGCCTAATTGTCCCCTTCTGCCCCCTGTCCTTCTCCCACACATACTCCCCAGAGGCTTTCTCCCATCTCTGCAGTTCTCATTCTGCACTAAATACAGACTTTGGTACTTACAGTGCATTTCTGACACCGTACTGTAAAACCCGGTGTTTGTGGCAAAAGCTCCCGCACAGCTCCCCTTCCCACTTTTCCACAAGCACCTACTGTGTCTCCAGAACACACAGCAAGTGCTGGGGCTTACTATTTTCATATCAGCATCTGACCTCTTTCAAAATTTTTCACTTGGGTCCCCAGTCCTTGCTGAAGTCTTGCTATATATCTACTCTGACTCAAATCCACTGCCATTGTTCACAGGTCCCATGCCTGATCTCTTCCCATTAGTAATTTAATCTTAACTCTTAACATTTCCAACACACACATTCCACTGGGAGGGGTTCTGGTTTGGACACAGCCTCTGTTTAGGGGCTCTCACCTCTTGGATGTGATATTGTATTTGTTCTGTTGTGAAAGCATGTAGAAAACCCAGTCCTGAAATGAAAGTGCAAAACATTGTGTCACACGATCACAGTCACCTCCTGCAGGTTTAGTACCCGTTGAGGAAGGACTAAACGGGCGGTGGGAGCAGTGCTGGGAAGCCAGGACACCATTTCCTTACCTCTGAGACAGCAGAAGGCCAGCGGGAGTATCCAGCTGACAGCTGGTATTCTGTCATTCTGCAAGGCAAGGGCAGGCTGTGTTAGCTGGTGAAGCTCTAGGAGCCACAGGGCCAGGTCTCACCATCCCCAGGCACACCTGGAGATTCCCTTCCATGCTGAAGTTCCACCCACTTCCCACCATGTGGAAGGCACAGTCCTTGGAAGCTCACCCCTAGGCCAACCCACACACTCCTCAGCCATTTTGGCTTCCTGATGGGAGAAATGCCATTTCAGGTTGGGGCTCAGCCACTGACTCAAGCTTTTGCCCGTCAGTGAATGGTTCTCAACACTTCTGGGAACACTTTCCAATCTTCCTGCCTGACTGATTATCAACTTACTTGCAAGGTTTCCGACACTTGTGGAAACAGCCCAGCACATCAGCTTTGAATTCGGCCAGGAGTTTGTAATAGCAGTAGCCTGAACAGCAAAGAAAGTAAATCCAGGTAAGCTCACAGTATCTTTAGACAAAAGGTGCTGTGAGACAGCAAGGGAAACCCAGAAGAGGTTTCCTTCCACAAGGGGCTAATCATTCAAGGCAAGAGTGTCTTTTGGATGTCTCACACCAGGAAGCTCATTGAAGACAATGGGATGTGCTGGGATGTGGGCTGGACCAAACAGGTTCAGGTGGGCACAAGCTCTGCTGTCCACTCACCCCAGGCCTTGTGCTTCGTGTAGTCACAGTACTCTGCTCTCCTGGGCAGGGGATAGAAGTAATATGCACAGCCACAGCGCTCTACCATGTTGAGCTGGAAGCAGGAGCGAATGCAGACCTGGGAGGCACATAAGGTGGAGAAGGCTGATCAAGGGAACCAAACCCACTGTGCCTGTATCACTATTAACAGAGCCCGAGGAAAGGCAGGGCCATCAGGGGGCTGGAGCATGTCAGGGAAGAGGAGAAGCAAAGGTGACCCAGGAGCGGTCAGCTCGGTGAGTTACCTGCTCGGTGTAGCGGGATGAGTACAGGTGTGAGTTACCTGCTCGGTGTA